CAAGCGTGGGTACGTGAAAATTTTGGCTAGAGAACTGTTATCACAGCAGCCAGAAAGAAAAACGGAAGGCTGAAATTTTAAGGGAATATTCCCTGACTCTTGTACTACGTGACTTGAAACACAGCCACCAGATATGCATGGTACGCACGTACGGTCGCGTAAAAATTTTCTGCGGGGAAACTGCTAGATCATTTTCAGTGAATTTTCAGTGAACGACCGTTCAGCAGAAATTGTTAATTTTCCTGCATGGAAAATTTACGATGATACACACAAGCTAAATGTGAAGCAACAACCACTCATACAGTTGACAAACTGACTGCTTCAAATTTAGCGCAATAAAAACGCATGTTCACACAGGCAAGAATTGGTGCCGTCCCGACTAAATTTAAAGTGGGCATGGTGCAGTAATATGAGTTGCCAGAAGCTCATTTTAGCTTGTTCAGATCCAAGATCTTCCACTAAACCCTGTCTAATATGACAACTCTAGAAAAAAACCAAGTCTAGATTAAGTCTACTGTTTCTTTCCACATAATGACATTGCCAATAATCGTATCCAGAAAAATTGATACTTACACGAAAACATTGTCCCTTATGTGCCTTTGCGTAATTTTCTATGTTCTGAAGAGCAAAAACAGCTAGTTATACCTGAAAATTAGCTTGACATTCACGTATCATTTTCTTTGCCACGTTAACATCAGACACTGGAGTACCATTGATTGCAATGATATGATCATATTGCTTCAAAAAATCGCTCGATACTGTATTTTCGGCTACATCGGGAACTATTATTTTATGCGATGTTACATTTGCTATCTGTAAATTTGTATTTTTGTCTATATTAGACTTGATTGCAGAACCACTAACATAACACCAAGTAAAGCGGCAAAGTTGAAATCCCATGTTAGTGCTGTTACTACTAGAAGGATACACCTATTTGCCGGACGCAGCTATGCCAGGCCTTTAGCCCTGAACAGCACGCATCTAACCTGCACCCACTGATGCCCCTGCACCACCTTTTTGAATGAACATTCGCGGTCCTTTTT